AAGTCCCGACCCCTTCCCCGGGACCAGTTTTTCATCCTGCGTCGCTTTTCGACGGTCCCGAGGCCCGGCGAGGGCCCCCCGAGGCCGAAATCGGCCAAGCATCGCCCGTCCCGATGTTGTTCACGCCGCGAGCATGTCTGGGTATGTTGTCGCCGTCGTCACCGGCTTCGTCCCTCTCTTCCCCTTCTGCCATCGAAGTACTTCACGAGGCATGTGCAGGGCTGCGCTCCATGGGCTTGTCCGACTGCACTTCGTGAGTGACACTTCGAGGGAAGCAGCGCCATCTCGAGACCCTCGGCTGACGACTAGCATCCCAAGGAGGCACCACGGCCGCTTTCGTTATGGGGGAGAGGGTGGGAGCGGAGGGCACTCTGACTCGCTGGAATTGGCCAGCTTGCCTCCCATCCGTATGGGTATCTACTCCCACTCCAGTACCCAGCCGGCCGATGGCAACTCAATGTGGGGAGTCCCGTCCGACCTACCTGCCAAAAAAATACGCCGTCAATGTTTTTCGCCTCATCATGGAGGTCACGTCGCCCATGTTGCAAAAACCGAGCGGCTCAGGGTGAAATCCACCTGGGCTCTTGCGCCTCGAAATTCGATCCGTCTTGTGATTCGCCTTCTGCAGATTCAAACCTCCAAAATCTGTATTTCACCCTTTGCCCTCCACCCAAAGAGAATGCTCGGAAAAAGCATGGCCGTAGTGCATCGGCGCGTACATCCCGCGCGAAGGGCCGAAAAATGTCACGGTGCCTCCGGCGCAGCGCTCAGATTCTAGATCATCGCACCGCTGCCGGGGCGCGGCGCACAGCATTCCCACGAGACCTCGTCGACGCGCGGGCGGGTGAGAATGTGTAGCTCTCGCCTCGGCTGCGCGCAGACTGCGCCTCGAAGTGGCGCGCCTGCCTCGACGCGGCGCCTCTTCGTCGCTCGCCGGGTTCGGGGCATGGGCAGGCCCCCTTTGAGCAAAAAACGTGGCTGAGTGAAGACGACCTGGGGCCCAAACCTGGCGGGCGCAGGCCTGGAACATGACGGCCGCGGCGCCCTCTCGAGCACCGAAAACGGCCAATGCACGAATCGACGTGTCACTGGTTGGGGACCCTGCCCACCCCCGGCAGTTCGGGGGGGGGGGGGGGGGCCGGCGCGGGGGGGCGGCGCGTCGCCCCTCGCCCGGGGCTCCGTGCGCAGTGCCGCGCGGAGGCGTCGATTTGCCCTGCGTTTCCAGCGGGGGGGGGTCGGGGAATATGGAAAGACGCCCATGGAACCCGCATTCCCCCCCGAAAAAACTCGAGTCTCCAACCAGAACATCTAGCGGTGCCACAATAGGATTACATCGGGCATGTCCCCTACAGGGGGAGCTTCGACGGAAAATTTACAATACTAAAAAAATGTTCAAAAATTGTTCAAACATATTTAAAAAATAATCCCCAGACTCTTTTTTTACTATTTTTGAATATTCTACCTGTAGAGGGACAGGCCCGATTTGATAATAGGAGAACGGACAATGACGTAAACATAAAAACTCGGAGGTCCGCGCGGATTTCTCGGATCGGCGCCGGGGCCCCCTGGCGGCGCCTCCGGCGCCGCCCCTGGCGCGCTCCGCGCGCCAGGGAGGGGGGTCCGGCGCCGATCCCAGAAATCCGCGGGACCTCTGAGTTTTTATGTCTATGTCATTTTTGGTTCCCCTACACAATTCACTCGTACGTTGCGGGAGGGAGAGTGGGAGTAGGCGGGGCCATCTGGCGCGCTCGGCCTGGCCAACCTGGCTCCAGCTTCTCCTCATACCCCTTATCCTGTGCATACACCTCCGCCGAAGCTACCCTGCTACTTCTGACGCTTCTCCTCGCCGGATACTGGCGCAACTTCTCAAAGGAAGTGCGCGAGATCTCGCCGTGGTCAGCGTCAGGGCGAGCCTGTCCACTGCCGATGGCTTACGGCCAGTGCCATAATCTTCCAGAAAGCTGCAGCAGCCACTCGCATTCTCCAGTGCGCCGACGCTGTTCCTGAGCATGTCAGACATTGCATGCGTCGAGACACGCGGAGGGCAAGCTGTGACCGCCCCGTTCGACCTCCCAGTGCTTTCTGAGCTCGTCCCGAATACCAAACATGAGCCGTGCCACCTGCGGGGATGAAGACGAAGAGGGGCAAGCCCAAGACTCCGAGCGAGGCCCTCCAGGCAACCTGGCTCAGCAGACGGCGCTAAGCCCCCACCAGGTCCGTCAGGCGCCCCACGTACTCGAGCTTCGTGCGCACGCCGCCCGCGTAACCGAAGCCGCCCCCGAACATCGCGGACAGGACCTCCAGCGCCTGCTCGTACGCGCAGGCGGCCTGCGCCAGGACGGGCCCCACGTCCCCGGCCCCGCCCGCGCCCCCCGAGCCCCGCTGCGCCGCCGCCGCCAGCCCGTCCGCGTAGGCCTCCAGCGCCCACGCGTGTGCCCCGCTCATGCCCGGGTACGCGGCGGCGCAGAAGCGGCTGCTGGCGAGCAGCAGCTCCAGCTGCGGGCCCCACCGCCCCCGCTCGCCGTGGAGCCACGCCAGCTGCTGCCACGCCCTCTCCGCCAGGGAGTGCTGGGCGAACCCCTGGAGGAGCTCCGCCGCCTGCTCCGCGTCCTCCTGCGTGGGCGGGGCGTCCTCCCACCTCGCCAGGAGCCCCTGCACGCAGAGCTCCCTGCAGAGCAGCTGCTGCGCCTCCTCGGGCCCGACGCTCCTGCCGCAGCCCCCGCAGGTGGCGCCCACGAGCGGCTGGTGGCTCAGCCCCCGCGCGCCGGGGGCGGGGCCGGCCGGGCGCGCGAGCACCAGGCCCACGGCGCAGCCGGGGCACGAGAAGCCACGGCACGCGTCCGGCAGGCAGCAGCGCTCGCAAGCGCACCAGAACGCCTTGGAGGTGAACAGCCCGGCCCTCCGCAGCTCGGCGCAGTCGAGCAGTGCCCGCTCGTCCAGGTACGCTATAGTGACCTCCTCGCCGGCCTCGATCCTGCGCCTCGCCCTCAGCACGAAGCGCCCGTCCGCGTCCAGGTGCCAGCACGCGTTCGGCCTGCAGGAGTGGGAGCAGAAGGACGCGAGGAAGAAGAGAGCGACGCCGAAGGGCCTGTCCGAGAAGCTGAAGCCGTTGAGGATCCATGCCTGGACCAGCTCATCGAGGCCGCGCGGGTCCGGAAGCCTCGGGGCAAAGCGCCGTGCCACGGCACAGCCGTGACCTTTGCCCCCGCTCGAGCACAGCAGCCTCAGCCTCCGCTGCCGCTCCGGCCCCAGCGGCGCCCAGCGAGCCAGCCCCACGCCGCCCAGCTCCTCCAGCGTCAGCGAGCGCAGCGCCGCCCAGTACCAGACGGGGTTCTCGTCCAGCTCCTCCGCCTCGCATTAGGTCGGGCATGCCCTCCTACAGGCGGATGTTTTGGAGGAGCAATGAAAAATAGTCAAAACATACACCCAACATAATCAAAGTCGAAAAATCGTCCCCAGACTTCCTCCTGTAGGGGGACGGGCCCGACTGAAGCCTCGCAGAAGGCCACCAGGTCCTGGAACGCCGCCTTGCCGGGCTCCTCCTGGACGAGGTGGAGCGGCTCCTCGGTCAGGACCACGTCGCCCGCCTCCCAGGGCACGGCGGCCAGCAGCACGCGGCCCTTGCCCTCCGCCATGCCGCACCGCAGCCTCCCCTCGGCGTGCTCCCGAGCATACTCCGTGACGGCTGCGGCGCTGTCGTCCTGAGGCACGGCCATGGCCAGCGCGGCGGCGCCGGCTCGCTCGCGCCGTCGCTGCAGGGGGCAGCTCGCACTCCATGAGGCCAGAAGCACGCCGCCGTCGCGCGCCACGCCTGGGAAGCACACGGTTCAGGCCACGAGGCTTGGACCAGTGTGGCTTATGCTGAGACGGCTGCGGACGGGGGGAGAGAGGGGAGGACGGGGAGGGGGGGGGACAACGGAGGGGGGGGGACAACGTAGGAGGAGGAGGAGGAGGGAGGAGGAGGAGGAGTGAGGAGGAGGGAGGAGGAGGAGGAGGAGGAGGAGGAGGAGGAGGAGGAGGAGGAGGAGGAGGAGGAGGAGTGAGGAGGAGAAGGAGGAGGAGGAGAGGAGGAGGAGGAGGAGGAGGAGGAGGAGTGAGGAGGAGGAGGAGACGGAGGAAACAGGAGGAGGAAGAAGACGACGACGACGATGATGGTGGCGACTGCCAGAACGAGGGGGTCACGAGGAGAGGGGATGGAGAAGGGAGGAGGACACGGGGGAGAGCAGGGCATGTGGGGGAACAGGCGAATAGGACGGGTCGTTGGGGCCTGGGCAGGCCTCTCCACAGGGGCCTCCTGGCGATGGGTTTGGGGGGCTGGGGTGGACCTCCGGGAGGCCTCCTGGGGCCGGGCGGGCGCGCCTCGGGGAAATAGGAGAACCTGTTGGGCTGCCCTGGCGTGCCTGCGGAGCACTGGGGGGGGGGGGGGCCTCTCGAGTCGTGCCGTCGGTCTCGTGGGCCGTCTCAGGGGCTGGCCTGGGCCCGTCCGAGGCTCCCTGGGGCCGTCTGGAAGCTGATCTGGGGCATCCCGGGCCCGTTTGAGGACGTTCTTCGGGCGTGGATGGACCGCCCTTGGCTCTCTGAAGTGCTCCCGAGTCCACCTGCGAGGATAAACGCGTGGGAAGATCCTTGTCAAACCTCAGGTGTTCCCCGAGGCTGAGTCGTACGCGGACCCAACCGAGACCTCGCGGCTCCCTGGGTGACTGCGAACTGCGCCACTTTCGTGGGTCCCTGGAAGGTCCAGCGGGGTCAGAGGCCACAAGTATCGTAGGCTCCTGGGAGGTCCAGCGGAACCGGGGGCCACGCGCACCCATATGAGACAACGCTGCCCCCCGGGAGGTCAAGCGAGAGAGGTTGTACGCGGACCCTTTTGAGACCTCGCTGCTCCCTGGTGGCTGCAAACTGCGCAACTGACGCCAGTTTCGTGGGTTCCTGGGAGGTCCAGCGGGGTCGGGGGCCACGCGCACCCATTCCAGACCCCGCTGCTTCCTGGGCGGCTGCGGAGTGCGCAACTGTCGCCACTGTCGCAGGCCACTGGGAGGCCCAACGGGGTCGGCGGCCACGCGCACCCATTTGAGACCTCGCGGCTCCCTGGGTGGCTGCGAAGTGCGCAAAACTGTCGCCACCGTCGTGGGCTCCTGGGAGGCCCAGCGGAGCGGAGGGCCACGCAGGCCAAGCCGATACCTCGCGGCTCCCTGGGTGGCTGCGAAGTGGGCAACCCGAGTCGCAGCTTCCGCGGGCGCACGGGAGGCGCGGCGGAGGTGAGGGCAACGCAGAGCAAGCTGGGACCTCGCCTCTTCCTCGGGGGCTGCGAAGGGCGCAGCTGTCGCCAATGTTGTGGGCTTCTGGGAGGCGCGGCGGAAGTGAGGGCAACGCAGATCCAGTTGGGACCTCACGGCTCCCTCGGGGGCTGCGAAGGGCGCAGCTGTCGCCAATGTTGTGGGCTTCTGGGGGCCACGCCGGAGGTGAGGGCAACGCAGATCCAGTTGGGACCTCGCGGCTTCCTTAGGGGCTGCGAAGGGCGCAGCTGTGGCCAATGTTGTGGGCTTCTGGGAGGTTCGGCGGAGGTGAGGGCAACGCAGATCCAGTTGGGACCTCGCGGCTTCCTCGGAGGCTGCGAAGGGCGCAGCTGTGGCTCATGTTGTGGGCTTCTGGGAGGCGCGGCGGAGGTGAGGGCCACGCAGAGCAAGTTGGGACCTCACGGCTCCCTCGGGGGCTGCGAAGGGCGCAGCTGTCGCCAATGTTGTGGGCTTCTGGGAGGCACGCCGGAGGTGAGGGCAACGCAGATCCAGTTGGGACCTCGCGGCTTCCTTGGGGGCTGCGAAGGGCGCAGCTGTGGCCAATGTTGTGGGCTTCTGGGAGGCGCGGCGGAGGTGAGGGCAACGCAGATCCAGTTGGGACCTCGCGGCTCCCGCCGGGGCTGCGAAGTGCGCAACTAGCGCCCATATTGTGGGCTTCTGGGAGGCAGCCTCTTGGGCGCCAATATTGCGGGCTTCTAAAGATGTGCTCTTGTGTAGGGAGCGCTCATACACAGATTCGCCTCGCGTGGAGAAGGGCTTGGGTACGTCTCGGAAAATGCTTCAAGTGAATGTCGCCTTCCACTTAGGTAGGTGGGACGCCAGGCGTGGGAGGAAGTAGCGAAGGAGAGACACGTGGAATGGAACAAGGAAGAAGACCGAGAAGAGGAAAGAACACCATAAGGGGTATCGAAGAGGGAGGGAGGGAGGGAGGAGCAGGGGGGCGCAGTGGATACCTTTATGGGTCGCTTTGGATGCCTCTTGAAGGATCTATGGAAGCAGTGTTGAAGCCCCTTCGGAGCCTCTTGAGAGCCTCTTTGGGCTCTCTTTTGAGCCTCCTGGGAGCCTCTTGGCGCCATTCGGGGGCCTCTGAAAGTCTTGGGGGCCATTTTTGGGGCCTGTTGGCGGTCTCGGGGGTCATCTTGGGACGGAGGACTCGGAATGTCAGCTCGGGTTCCCCCTCTTAGGCCCCTCTTTGGCCCGATTGGGCTGTCATCGGGGGCTTCGTGGACCGTCATGGGGCCCTCTTGAGCGGTCTGGTAGCCCTCTGGGGCCGTCTTGGCGCTCTCTTGGGCATCTCTGGTATGCGTCTTGGGCTGTCTTGGGCCGTCGGAAGCTGTCAAAAGCGACAACGGTGAAATCTTTCGAAAAACGGAAATCAATGTTTCGGGCCTCCTGAGGGCCTCTTGGGGACGCGCCGGGAGCTCTCTTGGGGACCTCTGGGGCCGTGTTGAGGCCATCTTGAGCGCTCTTGGAGCGCTCGTGATCGTCTTCGCGTTCTTCTGGGCCTCTCTTAGGCCATCTTTGGGGTATCGTGGGCTGTCTGCGAGGCCTCTTGGGCCGTCTTGAAGCCTCCTGGAGGCCACAGGGAAGATCAAACAATACGCCTAGATGTCACGGAGGTGGCGGGCCCCAGGCTTAAGGCCAGCCAATCTATGCACACCATACACATACATGCATGCATGCATACATACATGCACGCGTACATGAACCTATGCATGCATGCATGCATGCATGCATGCATGCATGCATACCTACATGCAAGCATGCATACATGCATACATGCATACATGTATACATGCATACATGCATGCATGTATGCATACAGACATACATACACGAATACATACATGCGTGTATGTATACATGCATGTATGTATTCATGTGTGCATGCATACCTGCACACATGCACGCTTGCACACATGCATACATGCACACCTGCACACATGCATAGATGCTTGTATGCGTACCATGTACGCATGCACACACCACATACATACACATGCATACGCATACGCATACGCATGCACATGCGCGTAGCCATATACATACACATACACCTACACACATGCAGACATATATACGGAAATACACAAATACTTGCGTGGATGCACGCATACATATACACGTGCATACAAGCATACATGCATACAGACATACATACATACATACATGCATGCATACAGACATGCATACGCATACATCCATGCAACTAGTCATTCACCCATACAGACATACATACATACACACATACACATGCATATATACATACATGTATACATACCGACGTACCTACCTATCGCACACCTACATAACTACATACCTGTTTAGCTACATACATACAGACATACATACATACATACGTACGTACGTACATACATACGCACATATACGCATACACACATACACACGCACACAAGCACACAAACACACACATGGATATATAGAGAGAGGCATACACACACAGACACGCATACATACATACATACATACATACATACATACATAAATACATACATACGTACGTACGTACGTACATACATAGATGCACGCACGTATATGCATGCATCTACACATGCAAACATGATTATATGCGTGCATACATACATACATGCATGCATACATACATCACATAACACAACAGGTAGTCATACATGCATGCATGCATGCATGCGTCCATGCATACTTCCATACATACATAAACTAAACAGATGGCGTGTGCAAGCTGAGATGTATACAAAAAGTGCTATGAGATTTTAGCACGTGCAGTGGGGAAATGCTCCTTCCGACGGTCTCCCTCGCGGGAGATTCAGGAGTGACGCCACTGGGCTCTCAGAATCAGCTGGCAAGATTCAGAGAAAGCAGCGCGAAGCTGCGAGCAGCAGAGAGCATGGGGGTGGAGCCGAAAAGATGGGGGACGGACGAGGAAGTCTTTTTTATACCCACCTGGCTCCTTCCCCCCAGGCTAAGTTGGCACCTCAATCGCAAGAATGTCACCATATTGGTATCCTTGGTTGCACAAGAGCCCATCGGAGTGTGGCATATCTTGCGAAGGTCTCGGCACCTATGGGGGTGCCACAACTTGCGATTAGATGGCATGTTGTGAAACGCCAGTGGAATCATGAGGAACTTATATATTATACAAAAATGTGATAGCTATGCTGGAAACGATGTTAGTGCTTCGAAACATTCTACATGTTACATGCAGGTACAAGGGAAATCACTGTGATGCTGAAAACATCGAGCAGAGGCGTTGAAGCAAAATGTAGCTGTGTCTAGTGACGTCGCGATTTTCAAATGCTTCTGAAGGCTCAATGCAAAACGACGATTTAAAGATGACTAACGAGACCAATACCCGCCTATGAACTCCAGTCACTCGGAAAGATCCGTATGATATTACGTGTGACATTGTTTTACTGAGCACTCACCTTCACACGCGATGTCCGTACCAAATCGCTCAAGTTCCAGCCGCACTCCAAGGGACCTGTCGCTCCTGTGCTGCACTGCCTGGCTGCGTGAGGGAAGCCTCCCCCAATCATCACTCGTCACAGTGACTCCAGCTGGGGGCCTGGAAGTTGGCACTAACACCAACACAGGGGATTGCCTCCACCAGGAGAAAATGGTCCTGGATTTCGGTGCTGGTGGTAACCTCTCGGCCACCTAAGCAGCACGAATAAAACCATCATCACCGAGACCGGGATCATCTTTCCTCGGTGAGGGCTGCGCGAGTAGAGGCCTCCCAAACGGGATCCGAGTAGATGACGCCGGAGGATCGCACCGCATCGCCGACGCAACGGCGATGCATTGGCCACGTCGGCGTGGAGAAGAAGGGGCCTCCACGTCGAGACGCATCGCTGATACGGTGCAATCCTCCGACCCCACCTGCTCTGACCCCACCTGAGGGGCCCAGGGTGAGGCAAAAGCCTCCCCCCGACTCTCACCACCGTGACTCCAGGGCATTGCTTAGGCGAACGAACCATGACACAGACATAAAAACTCAGAGGTCCGCGCGGATTTCTCGGCTCCGCGCTGGACCCCCCTCCCTAGCGCGCGGAGCGCGCCAGGGGCGGCGCCGGAGTCGCCGCCAAGGGGGTCCAGCACGGATCCGGGAAATAAATCCGCACGGACCTCCGAATTTGTTTTATGTCATTAAGTCGGGCGTGCCCCCCTACAGGGGGATTTCGACGAAAAATATAAAATATTCAAAAAATACCCCCAAATGGTCAAAAAATGCTTAAAAAATAGTCCCCATACGATTTGTTCGACTGTTTTTGAAGATCCCCCCTGTAGAGGGACGTGCTCGACTTGAACCCCACCACCGTGACTCTGGGGCACCGCTTCCGCCCGCCCCCCCCCCGGGCGCAGCAGACAGACAGACAGACGGCACTCAAGGCCCCCCCCGCCCCCTTCGAAAATCCCCCCCCCTGCTGGACCGACCCCTCCCCCTCCCCTCCCTCCGCAACCCCCCCCTCCCCTAACCCCTCCCCCCCCCCCCCCTCGAAAACCGGGGGGGGCCACTACCGGTTCGAACGCCCCCCCCCCCCCGGCGGCGTGCGCTCCTCGACGGCGCGCGTGACGCCGAGCCCGAGCCCGTCGCCCGCGTCCACCACCTGCACGGGCCCGGAGGCGCCGGCGCGCTGGAGCTCCGCGAGGGCCTGGGGCGCGGGCCCCCGCCGCCCGCCTTGGGGGGTCCCGGCCCTCGAGGCCCCCGAGGGCCCCGAGGGCCTCGAGGGCCTCGAGGGTCGCGGGCCTCGAGGGCCTCGAGGGTCGGCCAGGTCGGGTGGCCCGGGGCGGCCCTGCCGAGCGATGCGGGAGGACGCCCGGCGTGGGAGTCGAGGCCAGCCGTGGGGGCGCAGGGCGAGGCCGCGAGGCCCTGGCGGGGCGCCCAGGTCCCGCCAGCGCCCCTGGTGAGCGCTTCCTCTGCCGACGGCCTGCGCCTTCTCGGCACACCCCACGACGGAAGGCCTCCCAGGAGTCGGCCCGCGCCAACTCCTGGGAGGCCTTCGCGGGAACGACTGAGTGGCTGCTGGGCCCCATCGACGGGCCACTACAGCGGAATAAGCCCGCTTGGGCCTCATATTCCGCTGGACTGGACCGGATCGGGTCGTAAGCTGGACCTGGCAGGATTGGACCCGAGCCCTCGGGCGCACCCCCACCGCCAGCCTCGAATCGAGGCTGGAGGCCCATGTCCAGGCAGAGGAGCACGAGAAGGCAAACACTTCGCGGCAGCGCTGGGCTGGCGTCGCCAGGCAGGCCGCCGCGCGGCCTGCGCTCAGGCAGGCCTTTTATAAAGATGATGACGAAGTCGATGACGATGACGATGCCGATGACAATAGTCATCGCCATGGTAGACTTCATCGTCATCGTCACCATCGTAATCATGATCATCAGCATCGTCAGCACCATCATCTTGATCAGCATCATCATCAGCAGCATCATCAGCAGCTTCAGCCTCAACATAATCAGCAATCTCGTCGTCATCATCACCGTCATCATCAGCATCATCAGCATCATCATGATCATCATCATCATCATCATCATCATCATCATCATCATCATCATCACCATCATCATCAGCATCATCATAACGATAATACGAATCAGAATGATCCCAGAACGACCATACCTAGGAGTTGGAGCCCCGAGGAGAGCAATATTAGTAGTAACGGTAAACGCCGTCCTCCTCCTTCTCTTCATCGTCGCAGTTGCTACGCTGCGCTATGCTATGCTATGCTGGGCTATGCTATGATATGCTATGCTGCGTTATGCAATGCTATGATATGCGATGCTATGCTATGCTATGCTATGCTATGCTGCGCTATGCTATGATATGCTAAGCTATGATGTGCTGCGTTATGCTATGCTATGCTATGCTAGGCTATGCTATGCTGTGCTATGCTGTGCTGCGCTATGCTATGATACATTATGATATGCTATGATATGCTATGCTATGCAATGCTGCGCTGTGCTATGCTAAGCTATGTTATGTTATGATATGCTATGCTATGCTGCGCTATGCTATGCTATGCTATGCTATGCTGTGCTATGCTATGATATGCTATGCTATGCTATGCTGCGCTATGCTATGCTGCGCTATGCTATGCTGCGCCATGCTATGCTATGATATGAGATGCTATGCCTTGCTATGCTATGCTATGCGAATACTGCGCTAAGCTAAGCTAAGCTGAGCTAAGCTAAGCTGAGCTAGGCTAGGCTAAGCTAAGCTAAGCTACACTAACCTAAGCTAAGCTAAGCTAGGTTAGGCTAAGCTAAGCTAAGCTAAGCTAAGTTAAGCTAGGCTAAGCTAAGATGAGATAAGCAACGCCAAGCTAAGGGGACGTAACTGGGGGAACCGCGGGGCGGATTCTGGGGGGACCGCCCGGGGCGAGGACCACTGCCCGGCCCTTTAAGCATACACGGTAAGAACCCGTCTAGGCAGAGCCTAGGTAGGGAATCATAATCATAAGAATAATAAGAATGATGATCGTAATCGTAACAATAATAATTATAATAATAAGGATAATACTAATGATAATAATGATATAATAATAGGAATAAGAATAATAATAATAATGATGATGATGATGATGATGATAATAGGCAGCATCATCATAAACATGAGTAGCATCGGCATCATCATCATCATCAGCATCAGCATCAGCATCATCATCATCATCATCATTATCATTATCAATTGCATCAGCATCATCATCAGCATCAGCATCATCATCAGCAGCATCATGATCATCGTCATCATCATCACCATCAGCATCAGCATCATCATCATCATCATCATCATCATCATCATCATCATCATCATCATCGGCATCGTCATCGTCAGCGTCATCCTCATCGTCATCGCCAGTCTGCCCGTTCGCCGCTCCGACGCTCGCCGCACGAGGGCACGAGCAGCAGCAGGCCGTGCCCGCCATGTCTGCTGCGAGGCGCTGGCGTGCAAGAGCTCTGCCAAGGCCTCGGGCAGCCCCGCCTCGAGGTTCGAGGGCCGGGGGCTCGAGTAGATCGCTGCCTCTCTGCGGCCTGTCTACAGTCGGCCTTGATTGGACAGGACACGCGAGAGGGCACAAGACCCTTCCGAGGGCCTCATCGCCATAGGAGTGTAAGAAGGCACGTGTCGCGAGGCACAGGACAGAAAGGTAGCCTTGAGCTGGCAGGGTCGACCTACTGCTCCGGGCCGACTGTACGCCG